GGAGATCCTCTATCATCAAGCTGATTCTCTGGAAATCTGTGGCTTGGTTAGAGGCAATCTGTTCTAGGGCTTCTAGGAGGGTTTGAGTAACCAAAGTGAGACATTCTATCAATCCCTGTTGCTTCTGAATTGCTGAGGCAACATCCCTAGAACTTGCCTCAAGAAGTATCAACTTCTAATATCGCTCCTTATCATTTATCACCAATGAGAGAGCATGCTCCTTATGGGTTTTGCAGAGCTCCTCAATTTCTTGCAACTGCTCTTTGGTCTTTTCGTCAGACCATTGCAAGGTTTCAACATTATCTGAAATTGTCTGAATAGATTTGTCCTGGGTTATCAAAGTCTGGTGAAAAGGAGTAGAGAGTTTTGTGGATTCCTTCTACTTCTGTTGAGAGAGCATCTGTCTTGGCATTTGACGTGGCCATGAACTTGTTTAGAGACTCTGTCAATGTGGCAAAGCTATCTGAGATGAATTGCATACCAGAGTTGAAGTTCTCATTGACGTGGGAGAGATGCTCATTGTGACAGGTTTACCAAGATTAGCTTCTGCATCCCATCTAGCATCTGACCACCAAAGTCCTCTGCTGCTTCAACAAACCTGTTGAAGGGAATCTAAGGTTCTTCATCCTCAAAGCCTGGCATCTGCAAGCCCCGAGCCTTAGGCATGGGAGTTTTTCTACCAGTAGGTTGTTGTACAGAGGGATGTTTCTGAGAAGGTTCCTTTGGAGGTGTGATCCTTCTTTTGGATGTGATGTCTCCAGCAAGAGATGAGGTTAGGAAACCATCATTATCACTGTATGAGGAGATAAGGCGGAAGATGGGTTTCTTCTTTGGTTTGGAGGCCTCAGAATGTTGTGAAGGCCTTGGAGAGTTGGCAGCAGGAGAGGGTGACTTTTGTTGAGAAGGGGTAGGTGATTTAGATTTCTAGTGGGAAGGGGTTCTCTGGTGAGGTGAGGTTTTATGAAGAGACGGATTTTGCTGATGGTGAGGGGAGGGAGGTGGTGAAGGGGAGCGGTTTCTGTTGGAGGGAGTTGGTTTACAAGGTGAGGGAGTTTTGGATTTCTTGGATGAGGTTTTCTGTTGTCAAGCTTGTTTAGGTGAGGGGATGTTCTGTTGTGGAGTTGATGATTTTTGTTTGATAGGGGATTGAGGTGGAGTAGAATAAGGTGTTGTAAGCTTAGGTGAAGGGGCTTTCTGTATGGAGGGTGATCTATGAGGTGAAGATTGTTTTGGTGGTGAGGGAGTGGGACGAATATGTTGGGGGGAGGGAGGGGGTGTAGGAATGATTACCTCAGGCAGTGGAATTCTGTGATCTTCTCCACTCTGCAATCAATTGTGCCAGAACTGCTTCTGAGTCTGAAGGTCCTCCTTCCTTTCCCTTTTGTTGATGTCGAGGGTGGAGAGACTCTTTCAGAGTTTGCTCAAGTACCCAGGAATCAAAGCCTTCTTTCTCCTGCTCAGAGAGAGGTACAATGGATTCTTCTATTGGCTTGTATGAGCATGTAGCTTTGCCTTTGTGAAGTTTCTTCTTCTCTGTTATGACAGATAGAAGGAAATTTTTGTCCAGGCACTGCTCAACATCATCTGTACCTGCCTACTTGAGGACTTCTGCTTCCTCATTTACGAAGTAAGGAAATAACCTGATGAGCTCATAGAGAGACCCTACTCTCCACTTCCTCCATGCAAGGACTCTGACAAAATGCTTGTCCAAAGCAGAGGAGATATCCACCTGATGTTCTGAAGTCTCAGGGGTTCTGTTGGTATCATCTTGAGGTTCTGGAGAGGAAACAATCAGGGGTTGTTCTTGTACTTCAACAGAAGGAGGGCTGTTGGGTTCCCCCTGAGTAGTAGCAACCTGCATCACTACTTCATCCTCCGAGTCACTTGACTCAAAAACAATCTTCTTGCCTTTCGAGGCATTTCTGTTGGGTTGCACGGAAAGAGTTAAGTCATCAAGCTCCCCCTGAATTACAGGAGTTACTACCTTGGCCTTCTTGGCAATGGGTGAGGCAGAAGGAGTGGATTCTGAGAGAACAGGAGAGGTCTTCTTTCTCTTGGGGACAACCTTCTTGGCCACCGGCTTCTAGACCTTCTCAGGTGCAGCCTTCTTAGGAATAACCTTCTTCACAGGTTTCCTCACCAAGGGATCATCCTCATCAGATGCTGAGTCATTAGAGGCAGTTGGGGCCTTTTGTGGCTTCTTCTTCTGTGGTTCCCCAGCCTTCTTTGGCTTAACCGCCTTCTGTTGAAGCCTTTCCCTGTTGAACTCCAGGGTTCTTAGCCTCTTTTGCTCAGCTTTGAGAGCAACTTTCCTGTCCTTGGAGGTGTTCAAGAAAAGGAGCTTGGTGTAATCTACCTCAATGGGGTTTCTTAGCCCTATCCTTGCCTTCAGCAATAGTTCTGACAGTAGAAGGCCATAACCCATAGGGGTTTTGAAGAGACTAGTTTCTTTGTCTTTCTTTTTTATGAAATCAACCAGGGATTTGATGATTACCTGTCCCCAGTTGATGTTCATCCCATGATGAACAAAAAAGATAGCCTTCACATTCTAGACTGTCATATCATCAGTGGAGGTGCTCTTCCTCCAGACGCACCTGTGAAAAATGTTCACCAGCTTCTCATAGTCGCTCTGCAACAGGTTCTTCTTCATGTTCAGCTTGGGAACACTGTCGACTTCTGGCTTGCAGTATTGCTGGAGAAAAGCATCTACTGAGACTTGAACTTCATCTAGGGCGATAAATCCCGCAGTATCTTCTTCTTGAGGATCCTCCATCACACCAAGGAGGGTGTTGATGGTCTCCGGAGTGAGGGTGATGTCATCTCCGTTGACACTAGAACGAATGGTCTCTCCTTGGCATTGAGATAGAACTCAGCCACATCCTTCATGCTGTATGAGTTGAAGGTGTAGCCTACCACCTTATCCAGTTGGGAATCCTCCATTCCCTTAATAATCTTCTTCATAGTTTCTTGGTTCGCAGCCAGTTCCGGGAGTGCGGACAGATCGCAGTTCATCCCGGTGTAAATATTGTTAACCAGGAGGTTAATTTCCTCGGTGGTGAGATCGTTGATGTTGATGAAAGCCATTGCAGAAAGTTTGAGGATTTGATGATCCTTTTAGTAGCACTTAGATGGATCTCCTTGGGCTTTGATTGGTATCTGGCACAGATTCCAACAGAGAATGCAATATCTGGTCTGCTTGCAGTTAGATAGAGAAGAGATCCAATGATTCCTCTATACATTGTTGCATCTACATCTTTTCCTTCATCATCCGGTCCAAGTCCTTGAGAGGTGTTCATGGGAATCTTTACTGAGGACTTTACATCTATCCCAAACTTCTTGATTAGATCTATGGTGTACTTCCCTTGGTTGATAAAGATTCCTTGTGGAACCTGTTTCACTTGCAATCCTAGGAAGTAGCTCAGTTCTTCCATCATACTCATTTCAAATTGACTCTGCATAACTTGTGAAAATTTCTTGCATAATTCTACATTAGTACTTCCAAATATAATATCATCAACATATAGTTGCACTAACAGAATATGGTTAGCAACAGAGATATGAAATAAAGTTTTGTCAACCTTTCCCTTAGTAAACCCATGATTTACTAGAAATAGGGACAATGTGTCATACCACGCTCTGGGAGCCTTCTTAAGACCATATAAGGCATTTCTAAGCTTGTAGACACAAGCAGATTGAGTAGGAATGATAAAACTGCTGAAATCGAAGCAACGATCCTATTCAACCCCTACAAAGGAGCTCTGGATAGAGAATTATAAAGGATGATGAGGTGGAGAAAAAGTAGATTTTCACCACTCAATATTCTTTTCCTCGCCTATGACTTCGTCCGAAAAGAAGAAATATTTGCTCTTGAATGGATGCAGACGACAAACATTGAGTTTGCTCTCTACAAAGAAATGATTGTCAGAGTCTACAAAACCACACTTGAGATGATCAGACAAGAGGTGGCGAGACAGAAGAAAAGAAAGATAGATGCAAGCTTCTGTGTTGGAGAACCATCCAGCAGGAGACGAAGAAATCAAGAGTAGAATAGGGACCAGAAATGCTACCAAAAGAGGGGGAAGAAAGGAGTCAAACATTTTTATCTTCATTTCCCTAAGTTAAATGTTTGACTAATATCTTCTTTTGGCATCATCATAAAAGGGGGAAATTGTTAGACCCCTAGATTTTGATAAAGTGTTTTGATGATGGCATAGCTTTTAAGTCCCTAATCTTTTGTAGCATTTAAAGGAATGACAACTATCATGTATTCTACTCTAACCAAAATGCTAGTAAAATATTATCTAAAAGTGTCTTTCTCGAATGGTCAATTAACAAATAAGTTTAACTGGAAAAGTCAAAATGCAATAAGGTAATATTCCATTACCTTATAATAAGGATTCCTTATAGATCCTACCAACTTAACTTATTTGTTAATATCACATCAAATGAAAACAAAGTATTTCGAATGCACTATTATTTAACTGGAACACAAAATGCAATAAGGTAATGATTTTTTCCTTAATAGGATTTGTTATCCTACCAGTTAAGTATTTGGTTTGATTTCGAAATACTAGCTGGCCATACCAACCTTGAGTGACCAAAAGTCAAAAGTAAAATGTTTGTGTCAAGTAAATTATACTAGAAAAGTCAAAATGCAATAACGTAATTTTTACCTTAAAAAGGAGATTCAAATCCTACCGGTATATATTTAATTTAACACAAACATTTTCAAACGTCACAAAAAGTAAAAGACACATTGATATGAATTTTACATGTGTATAAATTGAGGACAAATAAATGAACAATTTTTGTGACTAATAAAATTATACTGGGAATAAAAAATGCAATAAGGTGAATTTATTTACCTTAAGAGGATATTCAAATCCTACCAGTATAAATTTTATTAATACACAAAAACTGTTAGTATGTCTCGTGATCTTCCGGAACCAATCAAAATTGAGGAAGTCCAAGCATGGAGGACATTTAATGCAAAAACGTACATGTGATCCAAAGCATGGTAGGCGCAGTCAAGTTGATATCTATAAAGGAGAACTGCAGCAGCTAGGCAGATAGAGACAAAGAAGTTATCGGCTCCAAAGAAGAAGACGAACAACAAGTTGTTATCTTCTGAAACAAAGATTCAACGAACAAGATTAATTCATCTCAACCAACGGATGAGATTAATCTACCTGAGACGCCTATAAATAAAGGCCGAAGCAGAAAATCAAGTTCTTGAGTTCAAAAGCAGAGAAATCCTATAAGCATTCAAAGAATCTCTAGCAAAAGAGAAAGTGCTTGATCATAACTTCACTCTCTGCTTTGACTCATGCTTCACTAAGCTCTTAGACTAGATTATCATTTTCATATTTTTAGAGCTTAGTTTTTAGTTGGTGACCAGAATTTTCTTGTAATTTACAAGGTGTTGTAAACACTCAGGAGGACAGTTGTTCCCGGCCTGTAGTGTGGTTAGATAGGTCAGGAGTACCTTTTGATCCCCACTGGATCAATTGAGAAAAACCTAAAGGATTGAGTAGCTTGGAGTGGTGTTGTACTCCTCGTGAAACACCTTCAATCTAGGCCAGAGTTGTTAAGGCTAGATTGGCACTAAGTGTATTGGGCTTAATACTTTAGTGAAATTCATCTGAAATAGGGTGGGACTGGATGTAGGAGGATTACACCACCTCTGAACCAGGATATACTGTGTGTTGATTTACTTTCAGTCAACAGAGCACACACCCAGCACTTCTTCATTAAAGGGATCGTAGTTTGCCAACAACATCCTAAGCAGTAGTCTTAATTGACTCTACTGCTTATCCTACTGCTTAATAACTTACTTTTTCTTGAGACAACTGTTTCACAAGAGCTTCGAAACATCACTACTAAAAAGTCCGTTTTGCCTATTCTCATAAATACTTCTTTCATACGCAGCAGGTGGCTTAGCAGTTTCCTGGGTTTACCCAACTGCTTAGGCCTCTGCTTATGCAAAACCCCTTATCATCTACAGCTCACTACATATTCAGAAAGCACTCATCATTCTATATAAGGCCATACAATCATCTCTCCCAAACTCCTATTTTCCACTAGCAGTTGCCTCAGCAGTCCCCTGCCATCCAGGCAACTGCCAAGCCAACTGCTCACTGTTTAAAGTCCAAACATTATCCAAGCTAGAAAGTTGTCACACACTAATCATCAAGAGGCTAAAGACTTCCGCTGTACATCTATAAATCTCCCAAAAGATTTTAGACCAACTCATCTAGAAGGGAAAAGTTTTCAAAGTCGAAAAAGCTTTGAAAGTCTATTCACCCCCCCTCTAGACTTTTACCTCTATCCGGGACCATCAGATTGGTTTGACGTTTTGACCCGCTGATTAAGTTAGCGGATAGTAAAAAAAAATTGTTTGGTTAATTAGTTGTTTGGTCATAGCTTTTTCTAGATAGAATTACATACAAGGACATATAGTATTTGCATGAGAATTTAGATATCCTCTCAAACACCGTCAACAAAAAAAAACTTCGAGCACATAAAAAATATCTGTGAATAACAAACTAATTTTTTCCTGACTGCCTTTAATCATAAAAGACCAACACAAAAAAATGAAATGAGAAAAATAATATGAGTAAGACATTTGACTAGATCAAACCCAACCACTTTCAAAAAAAGATCAAACCCACCCACTAGCGCCGCATCATTTACTTTGGATTACCCCATTTGGCTCTCTCCCATGAAGCTTCTTCATTTCTTATCCATTCGCGAACAGGTTGAATTCCGTTTGAATCTTTTTGTGTTGGTTGTGTCTGAGAAAAACGAAGAAAGTAATTAATTAAAATTAACAAAATAGCTAAAGAAAAAACAGAAAATAAGATGGAACAGAAATTAACTAAAATTCGTGCTACACACGATGTCCTTAAAACGTATTCGTTGCCTCCCACGGTGCTAGGAGCGTTGCAACGACCGTTTCCCAGGATACGGTGACTAACGAGCAATCGTTTGAGCACACAAACGTCTGTTCCGGCGAACGAGAACAAAGGTAGAACACAGAAGAATATTTCTGGAAATTGGAGGTGGTTTTAGCTCTCAAAAGTACGTGAGGATGTGTATGAACGTGTTTTTGTTGCAAAGCATCTGCTAGCTATTTATAGGAAGCATTTGTTGTGTGTTAATAGAAAGTTAATGGACCTGAACGTTGGACATCAATGACTAGATCGTGGGCATTGAATCGTCCACGAACTGTCCATTAATCGTTGCATGATGACATAAGAACATTGGACGTTTATTGTTGTAACGGTCCAAAACTGTTCTGGTGTGCGACCAGAACAACACGTCTTCTGGTTCTGGGGCGACTAAAACAGCACATCTTCTGGTTCTGATGCGCACAGAACAACTCTTCTGATAGATTTTTGGACGACATTCGTGTTCGCAGGTCGTGCCTGTGCAAGCAAGTCACGGTTTTTCTTCCCCGTTATCGGGATTTGATCGGCATCCCCCTGCGCGCGAAGAGAGTCTTTCCACCTAAGAATCTTATCTCTAGCAAAGAGGGTTCCCTTTATAAGGGGGTGAAAATCCCTTGAGTTTTCCGGTGTGGGATAAATCTCGCCCATCATTTTCCGAGTTTTTCCATTTCAACGAGTGTACCACATATCGAATTGTAGCCTTTAACAAGCGCAATCCGAAACCACTTTGACCCGACCTAAACCGGAAGTGGACCTCACTCAAAATATTGCCCCAAATTGACTATTTAATGCAGTTTTAACAAAATTTTCCAACATATTCTTCGGTGACATGAGTGTGAGAATATGTAGATAACAATTTTCATACATCTCCACTTACCTTCACCATATCTTTCTCTAAAGTGCATCAACAATATTGCAGTACTCTCCACCAACCTAAGGAGTGTTTGCGATTATTTCTACTTCAAAAAAGTGTTTTTTCAAGTGATTTTGGAGAAAATGCTTAATAGTAAAAGTTGGTAGTGTTAGAGAAAAAAGTGATTATGAAAAAGTAAAAGTTGGTAGTGTTTGATAAAATAAATGCTTTTTGTGTAATAAAAAAAGTCAAAAGTTTTTTTAAGCACATTTCCATCTATTTCCTAGTTTTTAGCTTTTAAGTGTTTAATTTAAGTAGAAATTGTCATTTGAAAGCACTCATTTCAGCTTTTTTAAAGCCAAAAGTTGAAGAACACTTATTTTAATTTTTAGCACACACTTCTTAAGGGCTAGACAGACTTTTGTGCAGATTAAGCAAAACTACTGAACTCAAACGTTGCTCAAACCAGCATGTTGAGATTTGACATTTTTGAACAAAAACGCTATTACCAAACAACTCATTAAGCGGTTTGACCAAAATCAAAACGCCAAAATATGTTGAAACGCCAAAAAATAGCCAATCCGTCATTTCCCAAACACGGCCAAAATCATTCATACGAAAATCATTTACATTCTTATAAAAACATAATAAAATTGTAACAAAATCAAAGTAATGATTTTAGTCAAAATGTTTCTAAATTATTATAATTGACTATACAATTTTGCTATATAATTTCAATAATAACAAGGTCATTGAAATTGGTTGAATTTGCTGATTCTGTTAAAATTTATCAAGTTCTGACTGAAGTGATTGTATTGGCTGATTGTGCTGATTTAAGAAAAAATTATTTTTAAAATATAATTTAATAATAAAATAAAGAAAAAATTATATGTAAAATATCTAAAATGGTCATCTACGATAACTTCAGCCAATACATCTAGAAAAGTAATTTTAACCTTACTTTTTCTTATTATTACACAATTCAGCGCACAAAATCAAAAGATACGTATTTGATGAAAAAGCTGACTGACAAGTCTCATAAGCCGAAAAAAGGGATCACCAAAAGGGCTCTTAGCGAAAGCAATGCATACTTGTATTAATTAATTACTTTTGTGGTTTGCATAATTTTGATATTTAAGTCATGAGATGGTCTAGTATTATTAACATGTACTCCCTCGTCCCATTTAAAAGTTTTCACGCGGTTTACGATGTTTGACTGACCATTAACTTAATTGATCTCTGTTATTAGTAGAATTACTTTTAGTAAATAAAATTTACATATTCAGAAAACTACATTAATTTAACAGTTCTATAATACATGATAAAAAAATTAAATTTGATAAAAGTTGGACATATAAAGTAAAAAATTAAGAACAATGGACGTTGACCGGAGAATATTGGACTAGAACCTTTAAATAGGACCGAGGGAATAGTTTTTAAATGTTTTTTAAGTTTTATACGGAGTATATGGTTTATAAAATTTTATGATTTTTCTTCCAAAAAAAACTTTATGATTTACCATTTGATTTGAAAATATGATAGCAACCTTCAAACAAATCATGTGAAATGTATGTAAAAAATAATGGTAGGTTTAATTTTTTTTTTTAGAAATAATGGTAAGTTTAATACTCCCGTCTCGAATTTAATTGCAAACTTTAAGAAATGACAATAAATGATATTTGCTTTTTAGACTTTTGACTATCTTTCTAAAACTAGATACTTTTAAGTTAATGTGATAAAATAAAAGTAAGGGTAAATTTGTCACTTTATTCTTATTTAAATACCTAAAATAGAAATTGAAAAACCATTTTGGATAATCAAAAAAGAATTTTTTCAAATCAAATTGGGATGGAGAGAGTATTTACTCTAACGATGATTTGCAATCCAACTCAATCCATTTTTGGATGACTAAAATAAGGAAAAGGAAAAGTGTTTGGAAGACGAAGTCTTTCCATATTCAAGTTTAAGGAGACCAGTGAGTAAGATATAGTTTGCCCTAGCCATACTTACATACATCCGTAAACCCTTCCTGTTCCTCCTTCCAAACCATGGCGCCTAAAATCGCCCCTGTAGATCGGCCTTTACCCGCAGCATCTTCGGACGAAGACGCAACATCTTACGCAACATCCGACGAAGACAAGCAGAAGTCCGAGCAAGAAGAAATTATTGATCAATCGGAATCCGACTACAGCTCTGGAGGAGAGCACCAGGTTTTCAAGCCA